TAGGGTGAAATGATTAAAAAAAATTAAACCTAAAATAATGTTTTCATTAAATGAATGAAATTTATTGCGGCTTAATGTGTTTCATTAAGTATGTTTGTGTCAGTAGTAATTGGTGACTTCAACTGGAAATTAATTTACGGCAACTCATCTGATCTCTTTGAGAGTTTCCTTAGTTTTCAAGCTATTTTCACAATCACTATCTTCTAGATGATCTCGGATCTTTCTTTCACTTCCACATCTTCTACGCTATTTGAAAACGTTCCAACAATAGAAAAAAAAACTGTCAAATTCATATTTCATAACTTTTTAGAATTCTCTTGCAAGATCAAGATATTTGTCAAGTTTTTCACTTTCTTTCAGGTTTAATTTGGGGTCTGTTGAAAAAGCAACATTCAGGATCTGAAAAAAATCTTCTCTCTTTTGATTACGATAACTAGATCGAGATGTTTAGGTCTAGACTGGTACCTTTCGATCCCAGAAGATGTTATGGTTTTTTATTCATTTTGAAGTTGAAGATTTTAGTTGAATGCTTTTAGCGTATTGAGTAATGTCTAAATCAAGATATCAATACATTACAAAACATTAAAAAATCGCTTTATGTCTATCAGAAAATATTACTGTATATAAAAAGGAAATTAAAAGTATAGCGAGAAATCAAAATATGAACGCATCCATTTTGTCACCAATCATTCTTTCATTGCCGCTTTATATGTGGGATGTATTTCTCTGCGGCGCTAATGTTATGCTTCCTAGATAAACAGATTCAGTTGCATCATTCCTGTAGTTTCCAGCTAGTAAATAATAGGAATGCCTTGAGCTGTATTTAGGCATGATGGGACAACTTGTACCACCGAACATCGCCTATACTTTGTTACGAGAATTCCCTTTGCAGTACCAATAATAATAATAATAATAATAATAATGTATGAGACATGTCTCCCGTGGCTTTTGATCTTAATTACTTGAAGGTGTTAACATGTGCATATTTTGTCTTGGTGAATTAAGATGGGCTACACTAAATAACTTGTTCATTCCCACAGATTGTCTTGTCAGTTGTCTGACCATAACCAGTTGGGTATTTCCCCATGGGCCAACGAACTGCGCTTCTCTTGTTCACGAGTGAGAGTAGTACGGGAAGTATCATGAATGGACATAGAGAGGGTTGATTTTTAAGCTTGGGGGATGAGGCAGCCAAAGCGAATTAGGAGTCACACCTAGATATTTCGGAGATCATTTGAATGAGCTGATTTAACCGAACTGAATGTATTTCTAACTGGGTTCCACCTGCAAAGCCTGTCACCATATCGCACACAAATGACTGTGAGACATGTAAGTGGTTTACCCTAATTGGTCTGGGTGACATGATAACTATATTAGGTTTCGTATATTTGTACCGCAGTGTCATTTTGTTGTTGTTTCGAATTCAATAGCAACAACAACGACAACAGCAACAAAATAACAACAACAACAATAATAATAATAATAATTGACCATCTTATATCAGGTTTCACGGTGTTAGCACCCACTGAATATAAAACTCGGCATGATAGAGTGGGTCAATATCTGCACTGGAAAATTGCAACTTTTACAGGAAGGAAACTGTAAGAAACTGGTATGAACATTACTCAGACCCGGTAACTGAGGCCCTGTAACAATTTTATGGGATTTTACAATGCACACAGACAGAACAATTAAAGCTAATCGTCCAGACATCGTGATCAAAGACCATAGAAACAGAATGTTCTTTCTTATTGACATGGCTATCCCTGCAGATTGTAATGTATCTTTGAAGATCTCCAAAAAACTATCAAAATACAATACAAGATCTTGAAGTGGAAATCTAAAAAATGTGAGAGGACATCAATAAATCTGTTTGTAGTTGGAGCCCTCGGATTAATTGGAAATGGTTCCGATAGACACATTGAAGAGATTCCTGGTAGTCCATTCCTTAAAGAAATAAAAAAAATTGTACTCACAAGTACAGCTTACACACTACTAAGAGCTTTGTTTATGTAAAATGTGTGTGATCTTAGGTTTTTATTTTGTTTTTGTTTTTTACAAAAATGATCAGTGGAAAATGTCATGGAACCATTTCTGAATTTTGATCTCTGGTTGGGACCCGGGAAAAATATGTATACAAACAAAAATCTAAGGAAATAATAATAATAATAATAATAATAATAATATAATAATTTTTGTTTGTTGTTGGCAACCCATTTAGAAGAAAAATGCAACTCAAGGTGTTAATCGTGCCGTGGGAAAATGAGGTCGCGAACGATCCCCACAGGCTTCGGAACCCTGTCTGTAAAAGGAACCAATTTGCCGGGCAACTTTGGGTGGACTTTTTTCACTCGTGGGATATGAAAATTAAAATAGAAACAAAACGTCAGTATGGTCTTCCAGTGGATAAACAGGAGCCCGTCCTTCAGGAGGGAAAAGGTCGAAAAATCTGCCATAGGAACAAACTCCTACACAAAGAATGAATCTTCAAGGATAATCCTAATGATGGTCCTGTAAATTCTCCAGCTAGATCCATAACCGTAAATTTAAGGAAAGAAAAAAAAAATGGTCTCGTGTAGGGAGTACAAAGTTGTTATGACTGCATTCCATGTTGCCTTAGGGTCTTTCCGCAGAAGGTAGTGTGTCCATAGCAGAAATCGAATGATGATGATGATGACAATGATAATAATAATAATAATTACAAGAAGAAGAAGAAGAAGAAGAATTGTGCCTTTTCTGTTTGGCACACTCGAGACTATTTTCAGGAATCTTTCTGTCTCGCAAGACGCATTGGAGATACTTGGCATCATGGGGAAGTCGCTTAATGGCAGCGCTGTGTTGTGTTTAAAAACTGCGGGTAGAAGCTGAAATATGGAATTCATCATCTTCGCATCCCTTTAAGACAAGTGATCATGTCTTTCCACAACTTCCTATCCGTTGTGGCACTTAGCAGTCTTTCTCCGTTTGCTAAGGTTCACGCCTCACGTTTCGCCATCTATTTACACTAGCTTGTCAGATAAGCGGTTCGCTGCATTTCCGTCTCTCTTGCCCTCAATATTCCTCGTGAGGGACAAGTTTTCCAAGCCCTCCTTCCTCATTACGTATCCAATGAATTTCAGTTGTCTTTTCCTGAGTATAAGTGCTCTTTTCTGTTGGCCTTTCCTTTAAGACTTTTTCGTTGCTTACTCGCTCTATTCATGAAATGTTCAGTATCCTTTTATAGAACGAACTACATTTGTACTGCCTCTAGTTTTCTACTCACCCGTAGAGGGATTGTCCAGCATTCACTGCCATTCATTGCCCATCCGAAACGTCTAATAGTTTGAGAGGATATTAAATCTAATAATAATAATGTCGTTTGAATAAATAATAATATCGAGCAAAGCTAGGCAGGTGTGATCGTCTGAGATAAAATTATAGTCTACGATTGTGAGCGTTGGGGATTAAATTAACCTACGGGTTGTCTCAAATCCGCATATAAGAAACAAAGAAATTAGTTTTTAGCTATTTTTAAGTGTATCTTTTATGCCATCAAATACGATAACTGCATCCACATTATATATTGAGGGTAACATCATTATCTGCACATCATTCTTATTTATTATTTTACTGTTTCCTATTTCTCTTTGCATAAATATAAATTTGTTTTGTAGGTTTGTTCTGAGCTACCATTAATAAGGACCCTGTCCTAAAAATTCCTTTTCGTCTTTATCATCATATCTGTTTTTTTTTTTTGCTGTTTTTTGTTTGGCTTTTTTTTCAGTCTCTTGAAAAGTCAGTAAAATATATTTAATTGTACCCAAAACCTAAGACAGAGACTCGGATAATTTGTTTATAACTTTTTCCAGATATTAATTGACTGATTCGTTTTCTACGGATTATCAGCCGTTTGCATGTAATTTAAAGTCAGAAAATAGTTTTAAATTGTAAGATATTTTGTGTGAATAATACTTTTAGTGATACAAATCTTACTAATTAACCCATAGAAGATGGGAGGAGAGGTGGATTCATATCTTTCCCAGGGTATATTACACGTAAGTGAATATAACGAATCCAACCGATTAACAATTCCGCCACCCACACATCCAAGCACCTGATATTCCCAAGACGTCACTCATCGAGGTACTGACCAGGATTGACGTTGCTCAACTTCGGTGATCGTACTGGAAACGGTTTTTTTTATCATGATGTAGCCGTAAGTCTTTTTCCAGATATGGCCTTGATTCTATTTTCTTGTGAATATGCGATTAGAAATGACTTATGACGACAAATACTTTCACGTTTGTTATTAATTTCTATTCCCATCTGGCCTGTGACGAAAACTATATACGAGTAAGACGAATGCCAATATAGAGCAGAAAGATTTAAGTTCATGCCTTCCCCAGCGACATAAACGAGATATTAATGAACAGTTAAATTAAACTTTTTGGTCTGTACCCTTATTTAGTATTCTGTCCGCATACCCTAGAAACTACTGTTAGTTATAGAGTGCAGATCATAAAATCGAGGACTTTAACAGTGTTAGGAAAAAATTAATCTGGATTTCTTAAGAAAAAGTTAAGAAGCTTTTTTGATACTGAATCGTTTACTAAAACAAGCTGAGGATGAAAGTTACGTCCCATAAATTCAACAAGTTTGTTTTTCATTTGGGAATATTATTTTTTTAAAAATGAACAGATGTTATGAGTATGCTGTGAAATGAAATGGATAAGAAAGAGAGGGAGGGAGTAAGCGATAGAGGGAAATAAATAAGAACACACACCCGTATATATGAATATGTGTGTGCGTCTGTGTGTGTGTGTCTATGTGTAGAATGAAGGCAGGTAATAAAATAAGGAATATAAAAGAGCGAAAGAGATTAAAAAGAGAAAGAAACGGTAAACAAATATGGCGAAAAGAGAGAGTCAGAGAAAGAGTTAAAAATGTCTACATACAGAGGAGTTAGCAATATTGAAAGTAAAAGTGAGAGAGGATAAAAAAGCTTTTAGCAATAGCTATGTTTATGGGAGAAAAGAAAGAAAGAAAGAAAGAAAGAAAGAAAGAAAGAAAGAAAGAAAGAAAGAAAGAACTAGGGTATAAGAGTGCCAAGTAGTTGAATAAAGAACAGAGGATTCAGTAAATGAAGCTGTGACGAAAACAGAAAGGAAGGAAGGAAAGAAAGAACTAGAATAAAAGAGTGCCAAGTAGTCGGATAAAGAAGATTCAGTTAATGAAGATGTGAAAAAGAAAGAAAAAATAAGGAAGGAAGAAAGAAAGAAAGAAAGAAAGAAAGAAAGAAAGAAAGAAAGAAAGAAAGAAAGAAAGAAAGAAAAAGAATGAATTAGGGCAAAAGAGTGTCGAGTAGTCGAATAAAGAACAGAAGATTCAGCAAATGAAGAAGAAAGAAAAAAAGAAAGAAAGAAAGAAAGAAAGGAAGAAAGGAAGAAAGAACTAGGTAAAAGAGTGTCCAGTAGTTGAATAAAGAACAGAGGATTCAGTAAATGAACTTGTGAAGAAAAAAGAAAGGAAAATGGGACCGAAAGAAAGAAAGAAAGAAAGAAAGAAAGAAAGAAAGAACTAGGGTAAAAGAGTGCCAACTCGTCGAATAAAGAACAGAAGATTCAGTAAACTACTGAAGGAAATTATTAAGAGAGAGAAAGAGAGAGAGAGGGTGGAGAGGGAACAATTATGCTTTATTTCCTTTAATAGATATTCAATTAATTAGTAACCACTGATGCAGTCATTGTACATTTAGTATACATTTACATTTTTAATGTATTTGTTAAAATATAGACTATCAGATTGCAGCTTTAGGACGATAAAAAGTAACGTTGCTTTTCATTACTGCGAAAATATTACATTTTTTTCTTGAACTTAAAAAATTCATTATTCTACGCTTCCATTCTATGCTTTTTAGATTTTAAAAACATTTCCTATATATACAATCGAATTTAGTATACCTCGACTACTATGTGATTTCTGCGTCGAGATAAAAAAAAAAGTGGGGGAAGTTAAACCGTTTGTGAACTTACAAATACACAGGCAAAGTCGTAACCGAACTATAACACTGGGCGTGCAAAATTAAGCCATATCTACATAGTATGCAATAGAGATTTACTAAGCATAGTTTAGATCTGTGGCACAAGGCCGAAAGTATGGAGCACCTAATGAATATCGAACTCACTACTCAGTCGTAATTGATCTACCGAGACAAGATACATTGATTTTCTAAGCATAGCTTAGATGTGCCACAAGGTCGAAAATAGGGAGGACTCAGTGAGGAACGAAATCACTACTCAGTTGTAATTGATGTAACAAGACAAGTTTGCTAACAATTGCCCCACGTCGAAATGTTCCTACATAGGATGCAGTGCGATACGTGCTGTAAAAACTATGGATCTGACCAAGAAGCACTCCCGACCAACCAAAAAATAACAAAGCAGATCTGATGTTTGGTTTGGGGTCAGATTTTCGGGAAGTCGATCGGGCTGAAAACTTTTGAGTTCTCTTTTTTGTGTATATATATATATATATATATATATATATATATATATATATATATATATATATATAGTTTGTCTGAATGTATATGCATGCATGCATATGCGTGTTGATCGAAACTTAAGGAGTTTGTAATGAGTATTGATATTTTAGATGGACACTCAGTAAACAACGGCCTGCGAGACTAGCTGACTAAATATCGCCCTAGTATAGACGTCCAATTTAGTAATAGTGATTTTCTAAGCGTATCTTAGATGTGGCACAAGGCCGAAAGTATGAGGCACCCACTGAGAGTCGAAGTCACTACTCAGTCGTAAGTAATCTAGTGAGACAAGCTTGCTAACTATTATACAACGTCGAAGCGCCCAAATGGTAGCTTAGATGTGGTATAAGGCCGAAAGTATGAGGATCGAACTCACTACTCAGTCGTAATTGATATAGCAAGACAAGCTAACCATTACAATATGTCGAAGCACCGAAATGATTTTCTAAGCGTAGCTTACATGTGCTGCAAGCGAGTATCACTACCCAGGCATAATTATACAAGCTTCTAGCCATTACACCACGTCGAAGCGCCCAAGTAATTTTCTAAGCATAGCTTAGATGTGACACAAGGCCGAAAGTATTTGGCACCCAGTGAGGATCAATCTCACACTTAGTCGTAATTATTCTAGCGAGAAAAGCTTGCTAACCATTACATCGAGGTGCCCAATCTAACTTAGTAATACATGTATATGTGTTTGTGAGGCTACACCCGTGTAATCCATTTATTGTTCTACCAAAGAGTTCGTTATTACGCGATGGCTTGAAACACTTCCTTAAATCTGCCTAAATGATAAAATATCAGAATTTTTCTGTTCTGGATATTTTTATCAGCCCCTCGTAAATAAGTAAATGGGAAACGACATATTTATTGATGTGATTCAAATACACATGTGAACTTTAATAAAGTATAATCATTCATGTTGGGTATATTCATACTTCCTAGTTATGGTTAACTAACAAGATACACAGCCTTGATAATGTGAATCGACATGAGAAGCCTTAGAGGCATCCTATCGTGCAGGTCTGGACTTTCTTTAAAACTTAATTTATCATATAGTTGTCAACGTATTTTACAATTGTTATCATTATTACTATAATTATTACTTTTTATATTACTGTTAATGATAAGACATAATTAATTTACATATATATATATATATATGTGTGTGTGTGTGTGTGTGTATGTGTGTGTGTGTGTGTGTGTGTGTGTATAATTTTTATGAGTTAGAGAATAAGGCTAATGACAAAATAAAAAATATATTTTAAAGAAATGAGGCCTCCGAGTGTGTGTAGTTCTAATGCCACGTGTGCAACAAAAGAAATAAGATAAAGACATTTTAAAAGAAACAAAAGAAAGCCGACAAAGTTTTTATAATAAACAAAAATAGTTTTATTTTAATTTCAGTGATTTGTTCAGTAGCTAAAAAGGAAAAAAATCACGAAATATCGATAAGAAGTTAGAAACACTTAAAAAATAACCTCATTCAGGTGTTGCTGGGTTTTGTGGTATAGTTTACATGTCAGGTCATCGAAGGTTAGTAAACAGACTGCACTGAAGCATGTTTCGGTAACAACTGACTTAACTAGGGAACCGGCTTAATTTTGGCGCCAGTCAACGAATACAAATACCCGATTGAAAGATCTCCACTGGTAAAGTCATCCTCCTACATTAAGTGACCCAGAACTAGAACTTTTATTCATAAAAATAAGATTTTCATAACACTAAGCTATAGCTTATTTAGTTTATAGGTAAGTCCAGCACTGCTATCACAAAACTAGCATATCCGATGCTTGGAAAAGACTTCACTTGAATAGAAAGGCCTTCTTTATCAATCAAGTACCAGAAATACTTGCATTTGTCGCTCAAAATATTAAACTAACTCGGATAATATTGCTTTTTATTTATTTATTTATTTATTTAACCTTGGCTAGCCTTGAAATTTTGGATGACAATATTTCGTCTTCGTAGACTAATTTCATTGTTAGAAGTGACTCAAACGAAATCATTTCCTACACTGTCGGACCCCTTTCTTTTCATTAGGGAGAATTTCCGCTGTGAATTGAAATATTTACTGAGACATTTCCCATATTAGTAGACATGTTTCCCGTTCAAAGCTGGATTTCAATAGTTATGAATTGACTTTAACAGACAATTCGTTGTTTTAATTCTTGTTTATCTAGAACATGTCAACAAACTATCTTCTGTCAGAATAATGATAAAATCTGAATCATAATAGCCTTTGTCTATAATTGCGCTTCATGGTACTTTGACAGGAAACATTTTACGAGATGCAAATGTGCATTAGGGAAAATGCGTGCTCCGCCATGTTTGCATTTAGAATAACACATAATAATACAACTAGGGAAAAATCGAGTAAAAAAGTCCTTGGAAAAGAAATTTCTCATATAAAACCTTCAATTAATGTTGGTTTTTAGGATAGTTTTCACTAATTAAATAAATAAAATAAGAAATAGCACAAAGATTATGTTTTAACCAAAACAAGATGACAATTTTAAATAGAGTGCATAGCCAGATTTGTACATTAAAATCTCAAAAGAATCTTTGTCTACTTTTTAAATTACTATAAAGTCAACTTGTTAGTCTATGACTATATAAAAGAACATTGTTAATGAAGTCGGAATAAGATAGATAGATAGATAGATAGATAGATAGATAGATAGATAGATAGATAGATAACTTGTCTATTTCGGTGGAAATTTTAAAATTATATTTAAATAGAAATTCGTTTTTCTAATCAGTTAAATGGAAAAAGAAATAAAAATGATCTTGAATCCATCTTTGTTGTTTTGGATTTCACATTATAGCTATATACTAAACGTAATTTGGGTATATTACCACGAACTGAGGATCTAAATTACTATTCACTTGTAATGATCTGAGAGAGATGAACTGTTTAATGACTGTAAAGCGCCCAAACTTTCTGATGATAACTACGGATGAAGTCTGAACTGAGAATCCGCTGGCCAACAGTATTCATACCATGTGTGAATATTCGCTATTGAATGTCTTGATTTTTTGTTTGTTGGCGGGGGGGGGGTTGCAATTATGTTCACTCCGTACAAGATCCAAAGCCACTCGAGGTAGAGGGTTACAGGGTAAGAGGTATATTAATACGGACCAGGTGCATTAGCAAAATTAATGCAGCAACATGGAAAAAATATAGAAAGCTGATTTTTTTTTTCAGGTATACTACTCTATGGCGTACTGATTCAAAAGCCATAAAATCCCCAAAAGTTCCTAGTAAGTAAAATGTTCGGGAGCGCCAAGTCCAAGATGGCCGCCACTGCCGGGGCCACACATAAAAGTTTTTAATTATTCAGTTCACAAATCTGTGTAATACCTCTTTTCTAACTAATTTGATGATGAGAAATTCAATTATTACCTTATTTTTAAGATATAAGGACAACCTGACTTAAAAAATAAATTACTAACCTAAACATTATAGAGAATACGCCGTTTTACTAAAGGTAGAATGAATATCTTAAGACAATCTATGCTGCAGAGTCTGATGAATCTATACAAACAAGGTTCTGCGATCTTGTTCAATTGCATATATAAGTTCGGTAGAGCTTTATCAAACAGCATAACGAGTAAGTCGGTGTCTCTCCCGACTACTATAACTGGGTTGTGAGTGCTACCAGCAACTCAATTGCAGTGGTACATATCAGAAAGTCTGCATCTGTTGTACTCTGGTGGCATGCTATGCTCGGAGCGGTAAGTACCATCATCAATTTAGCAATAAGCCCTGCCTTATTGGACGATTTGCTAAAATTGCGTGTTGATTACCCGTTACCTGCGAGCTAAGTTCAAATACAATGTCTTGGGATATATTCTGGCGTTGTGTACAGCGGCTTTGTTCTTCTACCTTTGTTGACCTGCTGAAATCAGGGTACCCATCAAAGTACACGACAGAATCAGGTCCATAGTTGTTGATGACATAACTGACATAGTTGTCACAAACATCCATGTAAGTGCAGCTCGGTGGTCAGAGTACACTGTGCAGAAGATGGCCTCCGACTGTCACATGCGTGGAGTTTGGTAAAGCTTCTGCTGATAACTTTTCCAAACTGGCTTTTAACTCCTTTGGCAAAATCCCTTTTGGTATTCTTCCTTATGGCACCATTCCCAAAAAGAGCAGGAAAGTCTGTTTACTGAATTCATAGTTTAGATGACCTTGCATATCTGCGCGATTCCGTATCGTGCATGTTAAACGCATGAAGAGATTGAGAGGTTTTATTTCCACCTACTTACTACGAATTGAAAGCACTGTTATGTGCTGAACCAATTGACACCACCTTGCTATTTCTTCTGAGTTTAGCGTCAGCATAGTTCGTACCGGTCAGCCTTGCTGCAGCTTCTTCACCAAGGTGAAAGGCACTGTATGCATTGACAGATGAAGGGGTTACAACTTCTGTGGCAACGCTTACCAATTTAGTAGCATACTCTTCGTTGTAAGAAAATAGTGGATAAGTAGGGAGTTGAATTTGATGAAATGTTCACCATCCCTTGCAGTAGCAATAGGCTTGAGGTCTCTGTGTTGATCTGTAGTGGAAACGTGTATACCACATAAACTTTCGAGGGAAGCTCACACAGGACAAGAGTAGTTTGCGGCAGAATACAAACCATTATTGTCTGGGTACTTGGAGTTATTTCCCCGACCGTGAGCTAAGCCTCCTCTGGTTCTGGGCATTCTCAGTAGTGTTTGTTCAATTGTTTAGTCTGTGAAAATACCAAACCAGAATCTATGGGCTCGCCTAATTGTCTAGTATCCTCCCGAAGTATACCTGGCAAACTGGGCTTCGCTCATAACCTATGGTAGTCGCTTCATTTGATCTAGGTAGAGTCTTGTGCACTTTGCATAGGCCGTATGTCCTCCAACACAGAAAATCGGGATCATTCTTGAAACACACAATAAGTGAAGTTACCAATCTCCTGTACGTTCTGCCCGAATGAAGAGCAATAAAAGTTTGAACATCTCCAGGTACTGGATCCAGAGCTTCCAGGTTCTGTTGGACAGAGATAGTTCCTCTTGTAGATCTTCAACTATCTGAGTAGACACACGCTCTGTAAGAAGACTCTCAGGTGAGGATGAGTGACTCAAAAGCATCTCATGAACCATTCTGGCTTCATCAAGGTTTATGCCACTCGGACAGTCGAGGATCGTAAGCATCCTGATGCATATGAAGCATATGGGTGCGCAAAGTTCGTGTATGGTTATGGCCACAGAACATGTGCTTGACAGAGTCTGTGGCATATATTGTTTTCCATTGGTCACTCAAACCAGACTCACCTATGATGTGGCCAATAGAGCCTATATATGACATCAATAAATGAAATCCGCCAAGTCTAATAAAATGTTTGGCAGATTGGAAGAACTCTCTGCGATTTGAATGGCTTTTACATACAATGGCTACTCAAATGTAACCGGTGAAACACCCAAATTTTACTTCTCTGTCAGTTTATGTGCAAAACAGAGAAGCTGTGTAGATGGTATCCAGTTGGCTTAGGTTGTGGTTTATGAAAGGGATTGCTTCGATGCGGCTTACATCAAATTCTCCCTGTGTAATTACGGATTAGTTGAAACCACTCCATGAAGGACACTTATATGGCGTAGCTAGATAGCACACAGTGTCTAGGGCTGTTGCTAAGAGAAGATCAGAGGGTTCAGTATTTGGTGGTTCTAATGGTCCAACCATTATCTTCTTGAGGCCAGGAACCACTGGTCTTAATATACCTTTTAAGAGGCAATTCACCAAATTTACCTGCCTCAACTGCAACACGGATATTTCACGTGGCAGTTCACATTCATTTACATTTACAGCTGGTGTCATGCCAATAATTCCTCCCGTAGTATGCCATGTGTCCTACCCTGTTTTCTAGGGACTTTATGGATTTTGAATCAGTAGGTCATAGAGTAGCATCCCTGAAAAAAATCAGCTTTCTATATTTTTCCCATGTCCGTCTAATACATAGGGAAGATAAGTTAAATTTAGACTTGAACTGATTAATATTGTAGTTATTGTGAGTGGAATCCACAAAGCAACGGTTCGGGGGAAGAAGCTACTCGATTGGAAGCTACTCACGAATGGAATACGAATGAGGGTGGTCCGTTACAATGCGCATGACATTCGCGGGTATTAGCCGTGAAGATTAGGACTGGTGAAACTAATGGATGTAGTTCACCTGAACACATACCATGGAAATAGCGATAGAACGGTGAGAGGATTGAGATGTTTCGTCTGTAGGAAAGAGGTTGTAAGGTGTAAAATAATTAATCACGTACTAGGACGCGGAGATCCTTTTGAACTTTACTGGAAAGGGAAGCCTGGGTAGCTCCTGCCCATATATGGCAGCATTACTCCATTTTCGGCCTGATCTGGCTCTTGTAAAAGTAGAGGATATCAGGAGCCAGGTAGCGATACAAAGAACCGACCATTTTCCCAGTATCTTTAGCGATGGATCGTATGTGTGTGTTCCACTTGTGGTCTAAGTTAAGTACCAATACACAGGGCTTCCCTGAGAGGAGAGAAGACGCGTTAGGTGAATATTTAGGGTCGGCTCGATGATGATGGAACGTCACTAGTTGAAAGGATTGTAGTCTCTCTCTCTCTCTCTCTCTCTCTCTCTCTCTCTCTCTCTCTGGAACTTGGTCTTATCTCAAAGTTGATTGGGTTCATCATAAGCCAAGAAAGATTATCTCAAACATTTTATACTTGTATTTTGTGTTTGTATTAAAATAGTCTATTAATATACGGTTAGGCGATCATGTATCCAGTTGTCATTCAAGACTATAGAACACAGTCTGTCCTGCTATTTACCCATAGCTGGGGGGGAGAAGAATAGGATTTATACCTTTCCCAATGGTATTAGCACGTAAATGAATGTAATGGATTCGACTGGAATTCGAACTCGGGTCTCCGGTTCCTCAATCCGAGCCACTATTCTTTACTCCACTTCATTTTTTTTTTTTATTTTAAATGTTTCTTTTTTTTAGCAACAGGTAACTTTAACTGAGTCTGGTCATGTTTGTCAAATTCTTAAGTTTGAGTCTTATTTTGTGCTTACTTCATGCTTAAAATATGACCCAAATTTCTACTCTTAATGCTTAATAAAGTTGCGTTAAATTTGAGCCTTGCTTCATGCTTAAAATATGCTTAATTTTTGCATTCATCTAAGCCTCGTCATACTTATAAACTTTCCGTTAGAAAAAGTGTATGAAACCAAAATTTTTTTCTACCTAATCTAATTCTTATATCATTAGTATTGTCTGTAAATCATATTTGCAAATATATTGCTGTAAAATAATTTACTTGAATTTCTCAGCTAATCCGCGGATTTGGAAAATTTCCCGATGGATGAGGAAAAAACTAGAAATGTAGTTCTGCAGAAGGATATTGCGAATTCTATAGACAGAGCGAATAAGCAACGGCGAAATCTTAAAGATAATGGCAACAAAAAGAACAGTTATACCCAGAATCAGAAATTTCTTTGGCGCATAATGAGAAAGGAGAGAGTGGGCGTGATAAAATATATATAAAACTTACCAAATTTCTAGATAAATAATAAATAAATATCTATGATTAACATTTCTTCAATCTATTATATGTTTTTTGGGAAAGTGGATCTATCAGAAATTGATTCGTATCAGTTCAAAGGTATCTCATTTGTTTTCTTTGCTTTCTTGTTTTTAGAAGTTGTGTTTTTTAAAAAGTTCCAAAAAGCTCCAATAGCTTCCAAATTAAAAGAAATATTTGTAGTATAAATATAAATTCTGAATAAACAGACCATACGTTGAACTGTCAGATTATTTTCTCTCCGAAAAGGAACTGCAAAAAGTCTCTTTAGTAAGTAATTTTTTTGTGTATCTTAACATATCTAATGATTTAATCACTTTCTGGTAAATCTAGAAAGGCACACATGAAGTTAAACTCTATATGTTCACTCAGTAAAACAAATACTGTATCTATATGTGGATGTGTCAACAGATTAACAACTTGACAGACACATATTATATACACACACACACAATGAGTGGGAAAAATAACCTTGCACCAATTAAATGTCCATATATAAAAAGAAAAACGAGAAAATGAAGAGTGACTTGCTGATATCCCCTGAGGAGTGGACGGATTGACTGAGGGTCCATCTATGAAACTCTAGAGTCGTGATAATGAAAGTAACATCAATCAGCTAAGTGACAAATTTTATATTTGTATTGATTCTCTCTCACTCTCTCTACACCACTACTCCTCTCCTTACCTCCGTTTTCTCTTTCTTCTTTTCTCTTGCCTTTTCACTAGTCCTTTTACTCTTTCCTTTTTTCTGTTTTTCTTCCTTTCTTTTTTTTCCTCTGTCTTATTTTAAGAGTTGCTTTAGGATTTCATTTTATCTTTTTGCCTTGATCGGTTTGAAAATCCTTGCAAGTAAATTTTATAAGGTGAAATGATCATTAGAATGGAGTTTTAAATTCCTGTATATATATATATATATATATATATATATATATATATATATATATAATATATATATATATATATATATTAAGAAATGGACAAAGTCCGACAATTTATTTTATTAAAGACATTTTTTATGTTTAACGTTCTTTTATAGATACAAGTATCTATAAAAGAACGTTAAACATAAAATGTCTTTAATTATATATATATATATATATATATATATATATATATATATATATAAAGTTATTCGGAAAATGATGTCCGATCTTAAAATGAACTTTTTATTCCTGAATTAATGTATTTAAACAGTGTTTAATTAAGACAAAATAGGAACCCTGAACGTCTATACATTTTAGCCATCGAGGTACAAGTTTATTTATGCCTTTACGATAAAACTCTAACTGTTTCAACGCAAAGGAATCTTTGAATGCAGTTTCTCATCTTCTTTGCAACGGAATATCTTTTGACTTAAAAAAATTGTCAAGATGATTAAAAAGTAGTATTCAGTGAGCGAAAATCAGGGAAATATGGAAGATGAGGCAAAATCTCGTATCTCAAGTCGGCGAGATGCTGCAGTGTCATCCTGGCAATATGTGGCCGAGCATTGTTATGAAGCAGCATTGGACCTTGTCGATTAATCAATGCCGGTTGCATCTTGCTTAACTGAATGTACATTTCATTCAGTTGCTGACAGTAAATTTCAGCAGTGATGCTCTGGCTCGATTCCAGAAAGCTGAAATGGATAACGCCAACGATTAGACCACCTGACACTCTCCATAAACTTCTACTAATAAAATTTCGGTTCTGGAAAGTGTTTGAGTCCTTTGTCGTGATCAAGCCATTGAACCGAGCATTATGATTCTCATAAAGGATCCATTTCTCATCACTATTTCATCAAGAAATTGATCATTCGAATTTCGCAAATCTGGTATTCAAAATGTCTAACTCAATGACTTTCACTGTGTTCATGTGAAAACCATTTATCGACTTTCTTCACTTTGCCAATTTTCTTGAGATGATCTAATATTGTTGAAATGCTGACTTCCATTATCTGAGACATTTCTGTGATACCTTGACGGGCGTTTTGTCCGATTAGTGTTTTCAGACGTTGATTGTCAGTTACAGATGGACGTTCTATACCACCTTGATATTTAAAATTCGTATTTCTACTGCACCGTACTGTCCTTATAATGTATAATACTCCGAACATCATTCTAGTGGATACCCATATTTGAGTATTTAGAAACCTCATTTTTTTCAAAGACAGTGAATTACATTTACTGGTCTGTGCATTCAAGAGACAACGATGCTCTGGTAGACGTATCCGCTATTTAAAAAAACAAAAAATAACAAGGCGTCTCTTCAAACACTAAAATGACGTTTGGAGTAATGAGAAATAATTTCGGATCGAAAATAAATATCCATGAATTCCTTAGAACTATATATATATATATAATTTAAACGTTAAATTTAGTGAATTTTTAATTTTGTTAATTTATGCCTACTGGCCTGTGCATTCGAGAACCTTAATAAAGAGAAGGTAATTTCCACCGTCCTACGCCTGGTGAAAAGACACCATCTGGGCCAGCGGGCTTTAGGCCGCTCGACTACGGAAGATTTTCATAGCTCAACCAGATTTAATTACCCTTTTAAGAAATGCACATTAATCTTTTGCATCCGTTGATACTCATAGTCACCAATTTTTTATCTT